TACGCTGGTATATAAAAGAGGGGAATGTAATGTGTGTATGGATAGTGAATAACTGAACTGCAGTCGGAAGTATTGTTGATGTTCGTTGATTAGCGTTTGTTTTAACGCGATTGTTGAAGTTGAGTGTATCGCAGAGTTATATTCGGAAAGAATAAACCAGTTTTATTAAGTAAAGACTTGTGTCGTTAAAGTTTCGTTGGAACGAAGTTACGGAAAAATCAATTAACAAATGGAGACGTAACAATACCATGTGGTCAAGAAAATCGTTAAATTGAGTTGCACTTGCCATGAATGTCAACAGCAGTACCCTACAATGGTAGATGAGGTGATATCTCTAGATTACAATCTCCTTATATTTGGATAGGAATGAGCAGCTACATGGGTGATGCCAGATGCTGTTGATAAATCTGACATTACCAATTCAATTGAGTAATGTGAGATTTAGTCACAATGGAAGATAATGTTGTGTGAGTTGGTCAGTTTGGAAATAAGTCTTGAGAGATTATAGCCAGCCTGTTCAATTCACAATACAGTGAAATGCAACTGTTGTTAACAGTAAGATGAAGTACACACCTTGTTGATTTGTGTTGCATTAAATAAAGATTTATTTCTTAGCACAGATTCAGCTATTTTTAGCAGAATACAGTATTATTTTGTAATATATCTTGCTGAACCTTCCATTAAGCAGAGGACCAACCTACTTTACTCTTCCATGAGAAAAGTTTATCTGAAAATGCCACAATACCATTTTCATCCACAACATTTGATATTTTGCCAGCCTTGTATTCACCCATATTCCTGTCTGAAATTGTGCTGATGTACAGTCTATAAAGTTTAAGTTAGTATAATAACTGTAAAGTTCACAGCTTGTTAATTTCCTATGGTATTCCAACCAATATAATGAAGGTCATCATGTATGCTTCTGTCACTTACATATTTTTACCATAATAAACTTTTTCAAATTCTGCTTTTAGTGGAAGGGTTGAGAGCTGAAATTATACTGGGTTTGAAGTTGCAAATCTGGATGTATGTACTGAAAGTTGACTAACTTCAGTCATGTTTACTGGTGTATTTACAGCATATACTATTTTTCCTAACAGCTTCCAAGTATGATATTCCTTCCCTCCAATCATAAAGTTTGCAAACTTTCCTGCATTGGAACTTGACAGATGTGGAGTTGACAGGCTGAATTGCTTGATGACAATGATGCAGTTTGACCCCTGACAAATTAGTATTTCCATATTACTCTCTAGAATATCCACAGGAGAACATGCTTACATTGATCATTTCAGTTTCTCTACAGTCTCTAGTTTTAGTATATGAACAGGTCAGCTACTAGAGTTTTGGCCCATTAACATTTGAGCCTTTGTTACTTTCTTTGCTAAAACTGTTTTAACTTCAGTGACATTTCTTATAATTATTTGAGTGGTTATTCATTTTGGTAGCATGGGCATATATTTTCACACAATAACTACAACTGAAAGTTTTAGACTTTTGCCATGTTTTTTATTGGTAAGAAATAATTCTATTATGACCCATTTTACTGAATAATCTCTATTATTCTTCACTGTCCCTTAAACCAGTCACTTTTAACACCTCCATTTCACCTGGCAAAAATGAAATAAACCTGCATTGTGTGTAATTGTCTCTTCTGTAGTCAAATAAGCAAGTGTTGCCTTTATTGCTTTTAGTATAGCTGTGTTATTCGTTGCAGTAAATAATTTTTGCTACAACTTTTTTCCTTATTCTTCTCATAACCCTCACATGATATGTTCCACCACCCTCCTGGATGGCACCCCAAAGTTTGAAAATACTGCCTCAAACTAACAAAGTCATAAACTGATCTACAAAAATGTTACACTGGTTACATTTCTTTCATATCTAAAATCACATCGGCAAAAAAAAATAAAAATACTAGATGCTGCCAGACTACTCATGTGGGCCTAAGTTTGGTCTCAGAAATTATTAGAATGTTCTAAGCTGTTAACTGTTAATTGATCAATTGTATATGTCACTGATGAGTACAACAAAAACTATTATGAAAGTAGTTAACATTTTTTAATAGATGACAGTACTATGCACAAGATATGTTTATTGTTAGTGGCTGTTGATGCTGTTGATTATAGGCATGGTTTGTAATATGTTATGAATAATTATTAAGAGATAAACAGAAGCTATCATAATTAAGTAGCATTTATGCATGATTTACTAAGTAGGCTTTAAAAATAAAAAATATTTATAATAATGATAAGTGATAATATAACTAATAAAGTACATGCTCCTCTGAAAATTACCTCAAGTGCTTCTGATCCAAGAACACATATCTGGTCACCATCTGTCCGTACACAAAACTTGAGTTTCTGTTCTTCAAATGTTAAAAACATATAGGAACCAAGATCCACACCTTGATGAAAAATAACTAGGCCATTCAAACCAACAGGCCAAATGTTCAAAGTAATAATCAATCCACCAGCTCCTGTTTTACATGGCACTAACACATAGTAGTCATCCTTAAAACCTGAATGAACTGCCTCTGGACCTATTTTGTATAATTATTCAAATGTTTCACAACACATAATAATGTAATAGTAATAATACATTATTTATGGTAAACTTTTAGATAAACATCATTTCAAATTAAGAAATAATTGGCATAAAATGTATTTCAATTTTTTTAAACTCTAGTGACAGAAACTCATCAAACCAGAATTTAAAAACATTACTTAAAAATTTAATAAAATACAATAAGAAAGCAATTTCATGATTATATATTATTAAAATTCTAACATTATTTAAGTTTCTGTGTTTTAGTTGGGAAATAGAAAAACAGAACCTCTCATTATATGAGAAGTTTGTTGATTGGTAGAAGTAAGGTTTTACTGACAATAAGATAATACTGATACAACAGCAAAAGTCACTGACGCTGCTAACACGTCATGAGATTCTCGAAAGATCTTGACTATCCTGGCAACTCTAGTCTGTTCTAAACACCCTCTTTTTTTTTGTATATAAGCCCCGCAAATAAAGCGGAGAGATATAGAGACAGATAATTGAGTCAAGCAAGCAGTAGTGACCATAAGTAAAGTGCGTGAATCGTTGTGAATTATAGCATGTGTTTAAGTTAAAATGACTGTGGAAATTCTGTGTATTGCAAAGTTGTATTGAAAAAGAAAAAACTAGTTTTATTTAAGAAAGGACTTGTATCGCTTGTATCCTTGTATAGGAAGAATTTATACCGGAAATTAACAAACAAGCAGATATGTAACAAATTGGTGTCAGAGAGTGGGAAGGAAAAAAAAATGGAAACCAGAGGTGGCAAATCAAACTACAACTTAGCGGATTTGATGGCAGCAATACAAGAACAGCAAAAGAAACAAGAAGAATGAGAAAATAGACAAGAAGAGAGGCTACAGCAGTTGTTGGAGGAGAAAAAATAAACAAGAGAAGAGACTACAGCAGTGGTTGGAAGAGAAAGAAAAGAAACAAAAAGAGAGACAACAGCAGTTGCAAGAAAACCTGCAACAGTGGCAGCTCGAACAGAAAAATAAACAAGAGAGATTACAGCAGTTGTTGGAGGAAAAAGAAAAGAAACAAGAAGAACGAGAAAAGAAACAAGATGAGAGATTACAGCAGTTGTTGGAGGAGAATGAAAATAAACAAGAAGAAAGTCTCCAACATTTGAGAGAAAGCTAGCATACACAAATGAAAAGATTAGTAAATTTCAAAGTGAATTAAATACATTAAAGGATGATTTATTGTCTTTTACACAAGGAGGATATATTAGCCATGGACCTAATCAGCCTCAG